AGAGTTACCAATGGGTAGTTAGCACCGGAAAACAGCAGCAGCGCCTCTAAAGACCGCTGAAGTCGTGTGTTATTCTGTAGTTGCCATTATGCTCATATTTGGAACTCTGGGTCGAAGCTGAAGTTCTTATTTATCAGCTTCTTGTTTGAAATTTTTGACTTTAAATGGTGCAGCATTTATTATTATAACAACTTAGGCACCAGAATGTAACTGCTGCACCATTTAAGGTGGAATGGGAACATCCAAACATTAAGCTGGTGAGTGTCTTTATCAGAAAATGTCACCAGCATCAAAAGGATAATGAGGATATTGTGATAGCCTAAATTAGCTTATCAAAGGGATATGTAGACACATTAAGCGGAGTCTGTACTGAATCTACATTAAAAACACACAAAAACCATTTAAAACACTGATTTACTACGCTGTGGTAATGATATGCGAATGCTCTGTAGGACCGCTTGATGGGTAGCATAAATTGTTAAAACATAGGCTATGGTGGTCTTATCACTTTGTGGTGTGTCAGCCTTTGTCAAAGATGACCAGATGAGTATTAAAAGAGGTGAAAACCACTTTCAGTCTAGTCCTGTTGAGCAGCGTAGGCTTACAGGGCTACCACAATGGCAAAGTGTGCTAGTTTGCAGATTTTTTGAGGAGGCTGCCAGTCTTATAATGTCAATTCAGTGTGCAGTAGCATTAGCTTACATGTAGAAAGAATTACATTTCAACTCTTTAACGACCTCGTAATTCAGAAGATCCAGTGATGTTTGAGAGAAAAAAAGTTGATGGGACAGAATGTATCAGCTTTGGAACATTTTTGATTACCACAGGATGCAACGGAGGCAGTTTTCGAAAACTCCATTCATTTTTCTCACAGAGAAATTCCTTTTAGACCCAGAGTGCATAAGAGTCACTGTGAAACTGGTAAACTATAGGCTAATACTGTATGTCTGTCACAAACTTCAAGTAATGCATGCAATATCTTTTAGAACCTTTAAATGTCTGTTTGTAACCTAGAACTGACAAAAAAGTTGTGAATCGCATTTAGCTTAGTGCTAACATAGCACTAGAATCCTATAGGGACGCTAGCAGAAGTTAGCTTTATAGTAGAATTGTTTTTTTTCCTAATGTTTTGAGTTTTGAATTTTATGGCCTGAAGTAAAAGTCTAGCTCTACTAGTCACAGTTTATCTCTGCTGTATGAGAACTGTATGGACTGGGGAGTGAGTGACATGTCTTTAATTTTACATACTACATCTTTCATACTACAACCCAAGTTTCACACTTCTATAACTTGAGAATACTCAGCCGTTTTGCATTGAAGTCCCTGTAGTTACTGAATAATATGCTTTTGTATGTAAAAAGCCTGGGATGTAAAGGGGTTTATTTGACCTGTATTTGGCCTGCTGATGTTTTGTTTATTAGACTTCCTGATTTGATTAATGGAATACTAATGTATCAAGACAACAAACGAGCTGAGCAGACACATTATAAACTAATCTCAAAAGAACCAGAGCAACTGCAGTCCTGTCAAACTCGATTTGCCGTGTTCTGTAGCCTGAGCCTGACGACACTACAGCAATCTGCTGTGTCTTAGCGGGGAAAATGAGTGGAGGGTGAGCCTAATGAAAAATACAACACAGCAATGCATCATAGCACAAAAATACCTTCCCTATATGTGCCACCACATCCAGCTGCTTAATAAAAAGCCTGTCTATTCTTGCCGCTGTGCCAAAACAGAGCAGGTGCTTTATCTGTTACAACAAAGCTATTATGGTCCGATCGATATTTGCCATCACTTGATGTCTGACTGCAGCTGTGATTTTAAAGGGCCCATATCGCAGGAAATCACATTTTTCTCACATTTTTAAAGGACCTTTATCTTACATTTTTCTTGTAATTTTTGTGTTTGTTTATGTATCAGAACAGTCATAAGTTATTTTTACATGACCATTTTCCATCCTCTCTTTATCCCTTACAATTAATCAGGCTGTTTTTGCTACTGCACCTTTAAGACTGTGTATGTAGGTGTATGTAAATGACTTTTTGTTCTGATTGGCTGCCCTGTGTTGTACCCAGTGTGAGTGTGAAACACCCCCTGAGGGGTCCCATGTTGGCTGACTTCTCCAGCATTGGCATGCTGCTAACTCAGTCGCCATTGTGGCATTGATTGGTTTAACAATTCTTGTTCTGAATATCCTTTTTTCTAGTTTGGTAATGTGGTCTTCTATGCATTAATTGAGATCTTAAATGTCTACTCTTCTGTCTTCGGTTTGAGAAATAAGTAACAATTCATTCTTCCCACCAAACTGCCGCAGCATATTGTAAAGGTTTTCAGAGGTATCCCAGGCATAGTTACAGCTGCTAGGCTCTGAAGAACCAACTCGGTGAGCCAATTTGCTACAGCGCCATCCTGAGGCAGAGCAGTGCTGCAGCTCTAGTTAATTAAGAATATCAACGACAGAAGCACATTGTTTCATGGGAGAAGCAAGTTAAACAATGATCTTTCCCTGAATTTGTATTTGAAAATCTGTTATTCTCTAACAGACAGCATAACGTTGCAATAAATTTACTTTCAGGGAACCTCCAAAATTTTTATTTTGAGACATTCAGGAGGTTAATTAGCTGGTTTCTGGGGCCCCCAGGACTGTGTCTCATTTAAAAAGCAGTTTGGGCTGAAACACTCCTCATAACTTCAGTGTGAATGGGTGGGGCTAAGTTGATGTAGGCTGAATAGGTGGACATGTAAGCGTATTGGATTTTGTGACATCACAAAAACAACGCATTCAAAGTGAGCTGTTTTTGCATCTATGTTTCCAAATATGGACTGTATGGAGTGAGGAGTAAATGGTACATTTTTCAACTTGAACAGTGTTTACATACTACAACTATCATGGAAATTAGGTTTTCTTTGATTTGGGCCCTTTAAAATAGTAGTGTTTAATACAGGATGTGCTGTTCAACTCCCCAGTCCATACAGTTGATGTATGGAAAATAAGATGCGAAAACAGACAACTTTGATTTCATTGTTTTTGTTATGTCACAAAAAACATTGCATGTACATCCACATACATCCACCTGTTCAGCAGTTTAGCGCCCCATTTCATTTTGAAGTTGTAAGGAGTGGTCATGTAAAAAATAATTAAAACTTAAGCTCTTTAACTGGTAATGAAGTGGTGGGTGTAATGCTGTGCAGGATGAGAGTAAAGGCCATGCAGTCCGATCTGGTTTCTTCTGATGATATCTGTAATTAAACAAGTATGCGTGGTAATTAATCAAGCCGTGGGATTTGGGTTTCTGTCTGAAGGGAATGGATTTATGCCAGGATGCTTTGGATGCTTCTCTGAGGTTGAAGATTTGTGAGATTGAACAGAGACAGATATGTGGCTCTCAGCAGTGAGAAGGTCAGTCTAGCGTGCAGCTCTCCAAAGGACATCACTCACATTAGCAGTGGACTCTATAAACAGAAAAGCTCCAAGTTCCAAGGAAATACACTGTCATTTTACACTGCTTTCAATAATATAAAGGAAATTTGGTTGCAGAGACATGTATATGCTAATAGTCCTACATAACTTCACAACTTATCAGGTTTCAATTATTAGTATAAAGCTGGTCATTTTTAGATGTGCCCAGAATAATGAACAAGGCAGATGCTTAAATGATCTGTATAACCTGTATAACATCAAGAAGGTCATACATTATAATAAAATTGACATCCAGAATCTCTCATTATATAATGATGATTATATCTACAAGTAGATAACTTGATTAAAAATGTAAATGTCATTTATATTTAATAATTGATCATTGTTTATAATCAAATGGTTTGTTATTTACGGTTTAAGGGGTAATTCATTTTTCAAAATTTCTGTACAATTAAGCAGTTAAAGGGTAGTTCCACCAATTTTTCAGAATTTCTCTATAATTCAATGTAGAGAAAGTCATTCAGGTTTGATGTGAACTGGCTCAGTGTAGAGAAACTTACAGAATCAGATTTCTTTACAGTGCTGATGATAGGAACCAGGGGTCACAATGTCTACAAATCAAATATCGCCATTTTATTTAGTATCCAAAGTGACCAGTGAACCCGGACATCTGATAGGGTTTTTATATGTAATGCTGCTAATGTTAAAATAGTGGTAAATCTGAAAATCTAAGTTTTATTTTGGGTATTATTTTTCCTTACAGCACCCTGCATGTCCCTTACCACCAGGAGTGGATGTCTCACAACCATCGTAAAACAATGTCTTAGGCATCAGTATTCATAACTGTTTTGTGTAATAAGTTTTTGTAAGGAGCTTTTAGAGATGTTAAACTCTCAGATGTCTGGTTCCTATCACCACCACTGTGAACAATTCTGACTCAGTAAGTTTCTCTAGAATAGAGCATTTCACATCAAACCACTCTGAATGACTTAATCATATTATTATACAGAAATATTGAAAAATGTCTGGGATTCCCCTTTAAGATGTAAACAAAGTTGTTCAGAGTGGTTTGACATGACATTTTCCATTCTAGAGGAATGTTAGTCAGAATTATTCACAATAGCTGTGATAGGAACCAGACGTCTGAACAGTTTAATGCCTCTAAAAGCTCCCTCACAGACACTTATTACATGAGATGGTTATGAATACACTGTCTAATAGCAAGCTGCTGTTTTACAATAATTTTGAGAGAAGGTTGAGGACACTTTCTTAGACACATTAATGGTGGAGAGGCACATTCAAGGCATTGTAAGGCAAAACAGTATTTAAACAAAACATATTTCCTCACATATACGACTATTTTTCCATTGTCAAAATTACATATAAAACTCAGAAGACAGATGTAGATTGACTGCTGGTTTGGATAGTAAATAAATTGGCTAGATTTGCATTGTAGATATATAACAAAACAAAAATTATTAATATGATTACTCATCACATACTTATAAACAGTGATATATAGAGCATGGTTTCCAGGCATGTCCACTCAGAAGACCACCACCATCTCTCTCGTCCTTACTTTTCCACGTTGCTCACACAGGTGACATCATCACGCCCGCCTACAGTGTAGATCATCCCAGCCAGGGCACAGACGGCCACGTCTCCACGGCGACCAGGCATGGGAGCCATCAGCCTCCACTCATTATATAGTGGGCAGAATCGCTCGACCGGGCATGAGGGGTCCTTTGGGGTCCAGCCACCAACTATCATAAAGCCAGGAGAGAGGAGGAGGGAGTTAGGCTGAAAGCAGAGTCATAACACCAAAAGAATGAGTTTAGATGAGGTCAAGAGAGCTACAGACACACAGAGTCAGTGCAGAATGAGGTGAAGACTGGATCAGCACGTACTTAGTAATGGAGCTCAACCTCCGTCAAGCGGTTCCTGCTGTCAGTTAAGTCTTAAATTGACAGTCTGATGAAAAATCAAGTTTACATTTTACACCCAATTTAGTTGATCAGCTAAGATGAGCTTGGTGCCTGAAGTTTGCTTCTTTAGTTTTTCACTGAAGCTGTGAAATTTACATACCTTTTCTTCATTTTTCAAACACTGAGTGGAAAATTGGCCAATCAGGAATTGTTTTTCACTATGGTATCAGGCTAGATATAGATAAGCAAGCTCTCCTATTGGTGAGGACATCAACAGCTGAAGAGAAGTGCTAACGCATTAGAATAACCAGCATAATTAGAAAGTGACAGAGGAGTCAAACAATCACGTCTTTAATTTAATTTGAGAAAAAGGTCACACTAGGCCTTCTGGAAGTCCTAGATACATCAGTGACTGTGATTATGGGGGGTAGCCTCATCAATGGGTTCTTAGAAATAGAAAACAGCAGTGGCAGCTCTATAACAGAGCTCACTACTGAAAGAATGTCTGTCACAAGCTTCAAGTAAAACAAGCTATGTCTTTTAGAGACTTCAAAGGTCTATCTTTAATCTAGAATAGCAAAAAATATAGTTTGGTGACAGTTTAGCACTAAAAACTACTACAATCCCATAGGGGCACTAGAAGAAATTCAATTTTTTGTAGAGGTGAGTTTTGACATTTATGGATCAAATTGGAGGCCTAGCTCTACCAGTCATGGTGCTACAGTTGTAATTAGGTACTTGTGCATCCATTAAGGCACAGTATCACAAAGTGTTATCAACCCGACTGATTGAGCTAGAGAGAAAGAGATTTGTAACAAGTGATTTTCAGATCTCAATAAAAATGTAACTAGTAGAAAGTGTTGTTTTTCTTAAATGTAAAGGTACGAGTATTCTATATCAATAACAGTAACAGCACAGTTACAAAGTACAATTATTTAAGTAAGTTGACCACTTCTTGGGGTTTCAGGCTAGCACACACATTTAAGATACCAGATGTAAAGTGAACAATTTGACCTTATATCACTGCTGTCAGAGCAAAACCTTCAAAATTTTACAGGAGAAGGAAAAAATATACTTTACTGTCAATGTAAGTCAGTGGAACCAGACTTCTTTCCAAGTCATTTTGGGCCATTTATTTTTGTCCATTCATCATGAAATCTACACACAATGCCAAGGGCAACAGGCATTTTCAAAGTGTGCCAAAAACTGAAGAATGGAGATGAGGTTTCGTTCCGACAGCAGCAATATGGGTTTCCTTCCTTTTCATTTATTAGGCAGATATGTTAACACTCTCTTGTTTATTCTTATCACAATTAGATATAACCAATGGATTGTGACGTCTTTGTTATTCTTTGGTTTGTTGACCACTAAAATGCTCCAATGTCCTGTTAGGAGACTATTTGACCCTCTGTAATACTTATTTCAGGTGGAGATCTCTGGGCTTTTACCAGCAGCTTCTCCCCAGCTGTGATTCTTAAATAAACATATTACTGTGGAGATTCAATTGTGACTCATAGTTTAACGGATTTCTTGTGTTTATGAAGGATGGTTATCATGCTTAACAACTCAATATGGATTGAGGCAAGTGTGATGATTTAGGCACAGATACTGGTGGGGTGAAAGATTCCATTTCATATTACATTAGTCTTGTTGCTCCGGTGCAAATCTAAATAAGCAAACTACAGACACCAAACATACTGACTGACTACATTTGAGCTAAAGGGAAAGTAGAAATGTAAGTTTCTTGTAAAATTCTTTAGCTTAAAGAGGTCCTTTGGAATCCAATATGTTGCATTGTCAATGAGCTAGCACTAATAAGAAGAGTCTACTAAAATCAAGAAATGGTTTAGGCATAACAGAATAATAGATAACAACAACTAACTTATCATTTGCAATATGCTTAAAATAATAACTGTAATTTACAATCATAAATCACAACACTTTCGTCCCCAGGTGCCTCCGACAGGTCTGTCAGGACACTATCGAAAGTGACATCACAGCGGAAATTTACTGCCCATTAAACACTTGGAGCTGGAGCTTTCAGAGCTGAATTAATATGAAACGAGTTCCAAAAATACCAGCGCTCATCTCAGCGCAGCTGCTGAGAATTTATGGCCTTGTTGCTGGGCCTGTCTGCAGTCTGCTCTCTTATAAACCCTTTCATGCTGATCTAACAGTAGCTTTTCAAGCTCAAATCCTCACCTAACCCTGATCGATATGAGAGAACATGCAGGCCGTGTCTCAGATCAGTGTGGGGGGCCACTGTTAAAGATGCTCTGAGCACGTAATGTGAAAGAGCTGAACTGATAGTACAGGGTGTGAGTTCTGGTTACAAATGCTCAAAATGTGGAAACAGTCAAATAGTTTTTGAAATAATTAATAACATGATTTAAACTAATGACTCAAGTAATAGTCACAGTCAGAATAAAAGCCAATATTTTGAGAAAATAATCCATATTTTTAGATAACAGTCAAAACTTTGACATGCTGCTGCTAGAAAATGTGATTCATAATTGATGTTTTTCTCTACCTGGTGCAAATAAGCATCCATAAAGAATAAATAAAAATATCTATGAACAGAATATTTTGGACAAAGTCCTTCATCAACTGTGCAAGCAAAGTGCTTGGGAAGCAGTAGACACATTTTCTGTTATTTTAAATGGAATAAATTGTATAAAATATATAAGGTATTAATCTTTTGCTATTAATGTTACTCTAAAAATAATGCACATATGCTGAGCAATGAGTGAACATTGACATTGGCATAAAGAACCACATTTAAAAGTCCTAGATGGCCGTAGAGTCCAACTCTAAACCTTTAATAAAGCAGTGCAATTTATATGCATCCACAAGAAATATGCAAAAAATCCCAGAGGAAATTCCTGGGCCTATAAAAAGCCTTTGTGCAGACACGTTTGGGTGGGAAGCTAATGGGAGTATAGCATTACTCTGAGGTAAACAGAATGGACTTCACAAATCTCAGATTGTGGCTTCATGTGTTTGTCTTGACTTTATAAAGTACACAGTCTGAACACTGACCTATAAATATTGTGCCAGGGAGCTGCTCTTTGAACTGGCCAGGTCGCTGGTGCAGGGAGCCATGGTGACCTCTCACTGTCCGAAGGCCATTGAGCCTTTGTTTCTGCTTCTTAAGTGTGACATCCTTTGGTTGTTCAAGTAGAGCTGGCCTAAGATGGAGATTCAACACAAGCAATCATGAGTTACAGGTTTAGTACATACATGCACGTTTTGTTTAGGACACATATCATCACTATGGTAACAAAAAAAACTCAATTGGTAACTTTATAGCTTTTATATGACTTTTCATGTTAACGTAACAAGTTTATTCCAAGTTATATTGAAGCATTTCTATTTGACTCTTCATCATGAAATGTTCACACAATGCAAACAGCAGCTGGCCTTTTCAAATAGTGTAGAAAAATGAAAGAAAAGAACAGAGAATGGAGTTACAAACAAGGTGTAAAATACAGGGGGTCTTGGGGGGTCTGGGACTCAATTAGTGGAAGACTGCATTATCCAAACTAGAAAAGAGCCTTTCCAAGAGAAGTATTATTGAGCCAAACATTTTGGTGCCATTGAAGCTAGCACCAGCACCACTAAGGTTTGTATATTAGCAGTTAGCCAATGTTGGAGTATCCAACCAACATGGGACCCACCAAATACCAAGGATCATTTCGCACACTGCTTACAAAGTTTTGTTGAGAGAGAGAACATCAAAGGGACATTGATTATTTTACATTTACAACCTCACTAAAAAAATCCGACTTAACACAAGTGTGAATTATTATTTTTACCAAGTTGATTTAGTGAGAAGCCACAAATGTCAGAGCGATAAAAAGTTTTAGAAGCTATATAAAGATTTCTTTATTGCAATGAAAAAGATAAGATAAGGCATCTAAAGAGTTAATTGCATATTCCTCTACCAGCTCATCCTGAGTTGAGTCAACTGGATGGATTTTTGGTGATTTTTAGACTAGACTAGATAGGTTAAAGGTATCTATCATGATAGGCTTGATATACATGAAACCATCTACCCTTGTCCAAAAAAATCTGAATCTTTCCACCATACAAAGTTCAAAACATCATAATGTACAAGACTCAGAAGTGATCTGACCTGTCTATCACATCAGTAGCTGTACTCGGCACATGGAGTGTAATGTATACATCCTATATTAATTGACCCAGAGTTTTATCTGTTTGTTTGTTTGTTTTGGCTTTGTAGCTATGGTGTAGCATATTAAGTAACCCTGCTGAATGTGAACAGGGCTTCAGTCCCTGATTGGGCAGGAATGCCATGCTATACCAATAATAGAGTCCTTGGGCAAGACACCAAACATTCTCCTATCTCTGAAAACATGATTAAAATGTAAGCCACTCTAGATATGCCATATTTGTAATGTAAAAAATAATAATAAAAATAACATTATTATTAATGTTAGTACAACTTAAACAATTGCCTAGTTATTCCTCTTAGTGCAGTTAAGTTTCTTAATAAGCTAAACAAGGAAAAGGTAGCAGAAATTGGAGCTGAGATTTTTCTTTTGATGTTTGTGAAAACATTTTTACAGTGATGATGGAAATTAGAAAGTACCTTATTATTTGATATAAAAGAAACTTAACTACTGCAATGACTTTCATAAGTTACTACATAGCTATCACAATGTATCATTCACTGATAGATATGATACAGATTAACTGGTAAAAATATCTGTGTGTACAAATCAAAATGTCCTCATCAGCAATATAACCCTCAGTAATCTCAGACTGAAATCAGTTCAATTACTAATAATACTAATAATAATCATGCAATGTCAGAAAGGCATGTTCTGTCCTTGTCTACACACCACAGTGTAATTACGCTAGGCCTAATAACTTATCAGCTTCATCATCAACTGTAAACAGTCACACGTAGCGCTACATTCCTTCATCAACACCAATCACTTCAGCACATGCTAGTATTTACCCCTGCTCACAGTATATCCCCATCCTTCTGCAACACCGCTCTTCAGAAAGTTCCGGTCCCTGTCGCCTGGTGCTAAAGGACCAGCGAAGGTCAGCTGTTTCTTATATATGTGGGTCAGCAACCCACCCTGTTCAGTGTGGTTACAGCCTGCATCTTCAAGTGTGTGGGAGGTGATCATGTATTAAGCTCTTCATAGAGACCAAATGTCCTTGTGATAATGGGAAATGTGAAAACCTTGATACTGTAGGGACATTTAGTTGGTCCCCATGAGGACCATAAGCTGTCTTTTATTACAAATTTTCCAAATAATGTAGCATCTATTTAAAAAAATATGTCAGAACCAAAAGACATCTGTGGTTATGTTGGCATTAGCTACAGTCATACAGAAGTAAATGGAAATATCCCACAAAGGCAGCAATACAAACTCGTGTATGCATTTGTGTGTTGATTCAGATTAACTGGTGTTTCCCTCTGTAACATCCCCCCCAGTGATAACTGTGCCTTTCAGTCAGCTGAAGAAACATTAGAAGTCCAGAGATGCCTGCCAAAGCTGCCCTATTAATCCAGCATCTCTATAGCTGATGACATTAACTCTGCTCAGTTGGCACTGATACAGTAGAATATGGATATAACTGGTACAAACAGAATGGAGGGAATTTCTTTAAAATGTACATACACTCAGAGGAAAACAGGTTTGAAATGGTTGCATGGTGTAGAGACGTACTCTAAAAAGGACGCAAAAACAGCGTCTTCACGAACACTGAAGTTGCTGCTAAAGCCTGAGTGGACTGATAAATCACTCTGATGATCACTTATTATTCTCAGTGTGACTAAACTTCTTTGAGCGATGATGGAACTGAACAGTAGCCTTGTTCACAAGTGATGAGCTTAGCATCGGTGTTGTGCTGGACTAAGTACGTTTTGTGACACACATGGCATTCAGAAAAAAATCACATAGGTAAAAAGTGTATGATCAAATTAGCACAATTGTGTTATTGGGAGATCGCAAACTGTTTGGTTCATTCATGAGGCGGCAGTAGGATTATGGGAGCATGATGAAAGGACCAACACAAACAGTCCAAAATTGTTTCCATTTTTATACAAATGTTTCTTTACTTTGAAAGGAAGTAATTAGAACAGGACATTTCAATTTTAACCTTTTCTTTTGGTCCATTCTTCATCTAATTTTAGCACAGTGTAAGGGGCATTTTCAATTCAATTTAAATTTTCATTCTCTTTAAAACAACAATTTTTTTTACATTACATATTATTTTAACTTTGTTTTTTTGCTGTTGTTGAGGTGTTATCAGGTGGTTCAGCCACACTCATTGCTAACAGGTGGATCAAATTAAGCACATTTCCTTGCACTCTCAATACACTGTCAGTAAAATGGGTCTTACTGATGAGCTCAGTGACTTTAAAAGTGGCATTGTCGTAGGATGGCACCTCTGCCACAATTCAGTTTGTGAAATTTCTGTCCTGCTAGATCTGCCCCTGTCAACTGTAAGTGCTATTATTGTGAAATGGAAGCACCTAGGAGCAACAACAGCTTAGCCACAAAGTAGTAGACCATGCAAACTCACAGAGTGGGGCCGGCAAGTGCTGAAGCGCACAGTGCCTATCCACTGTTAAAACGCTCACTAACTGGAAGCAACATCGGCAAAAGAACTGCGCATCAGGAGCTTCACAAAATGGGTTTCCATGGCTGAGCAGCTCCACACAAGCCTAAGATCAAAATGCACAATGCCAAATGGGGGAGTGGTGTAAAGCACTCTGTCACTGGACTCAGCAGTGGAAACACATTCTGTGGAGTGACGAATTACGCTTCTCTATCTGGCAGTCTGATGGACAAGTCTGGATTTGGTGAATGTCAGGAGAACGTTATGTGTCTGACTGCATTGTGCCAACTGTAAAATTTGGTGGAGGAGAGATAATGCTATGGGGTTGTTTATCAGGGGTTGACCTAGGCCTCTTAGTTCCAGTGAAGGGAGATCTTAATGCTTCAGCACACAAAGACATTTAGGACAACTGTATGCTTCTAACTTCATGGGAACAGTTTGGGGAAGGATCTTTTCTGTTCCAGCATGACTGTGTCCCAGTGCACAAAGCAAGGTTAATAAAGGAATGACTGGGTGAGTTTGGTGTGGAAGCATTTGACTGGCCCACACAGAGCCCTGACTTCAACCCCATCAAACACCTTTGCGATTAACTACAACAGAGATTGCGAGCCAGGCCCTCTCGTCCAACATCAGTGTGTGTGTGTGTGTGTGTGTATATATATATATATATATATATATATATATATATATATATAACACACACACACACACACACACACACACACACACATATATATATATATATATATATATATATATTTATATATATATATATATATATAAGGCAAATGTATGGTGGAATTTGTATTATCTTCAGGTGACTCTGAAAATAGCTAATGTCCCAAAATCATTTCAGCAATTTTAAGAACACACAGATGTACTTTGTACAAACCTTCCACACAGTGTGTGTGCTGGATGTGACACTCTTGGCTTATAAACTCTGCTGAATAAATCTGCTTTTATGGCAGGCTCGCTGATTTAGCTCTTTTGGCTTATTGTCATGCTGCCCTTTAAAAATGTAAACATCTGCATATTCATTCCCATGAGGAGGTGCAACTGAAAACGCTCTCTAGTTTTTGTAAGTGACCGTAAACACCAACAGTATATGAACTGGACAAGAGTGCTTTAAATCAAAACAAAGGACTTTTGCAACACCTGCTGAAACTAACTCTCCATTTGGATACTTTCTTTTCAAATAAGCCAACATAGCTTAGCTGGTTATGATAGTATTGTTTGGGTTGCAGCAATGGAGATATTCAATATTTAAAAAGGGAGGCAAATCTGAAAACAAATCAAAAACAAATTTCAGATTTCAGATCATATATACAGATAATAATAATAATAATAATGATGATAATCGTCATCATCATCATCATCATCAGTCACAGTAGTTATTTTTAAAGTGCTTTTCCAAACGCATACTTTATGTAACTTCTTCCTCCTCCATCTTAGAATCTGTGAGCATCCGTGTACAGAACACCATGGCCTTTTGATTGCATAACAAGATCTCCTCCAGCCACAAGCCTGCTGCCAGAACACTGGACAGCAATATATCATCCTTTATCAGAGCATGTGCAAGGCCTGTTTATTAGTGTCCCAGAGTCAAAGTGTCGTACCTGCTAAACCTTTATACCTGCTGTTAAGAGCAAGGAATCCAGTTCACTAAAAATGTAAATAGAGTCAAATCAATCAAAGCTACCGACCTTTAGTTTAAAAAGTTTTTCAGTGTCTACTCCAAAACTCCTCAACTGCTACCTGAGTATGAGCTAGTGTACAGTCATTAAAGGAATGTGGTCACACATGCCACCAAAGGTCATCTTGGGCATCCCACCCTTAGCTTCTCCATAAACTCTATTCATTAATGAGAGGTTAAAGGTGACTTGGCTATGACACAGTCATAAACATGTTTTTACCATTGAAGGACTGTTTTTTAAATAAAAGAGTTTGATATAGTTTGTAAATCATTATTAAAGTCTGAAACATACTACTCACCTCCCATTCCACACAGTCCATATGCAGAAACTAAGCTGCAAAAACATTGTTTTTTTTGTGATGTCACAAAAACCAAACACAATATTTATATACCTGCCCAGCAGTTTAGCCCCACCCATTCACCTTGACGTTATAAGGAGTGTTTCAGGCCAAACAGCTTTTTGAAAGAGGCACAAAATGGGCAGCCAATCAAAACAGAGGTAATTTACATATTTACATTATATTACATTTTATGTGTGGGCAGGAAAAACACTGAATTTGCGGGCGCAGGTGGACGTGATGGAGGTGATGTATGGTTAAAGGGAGTGCGTGCAGGCATCAATAATCAGGCCCATGCAGACTTCTAGTCATGATATCTGCACACAAATATAGCCATTTTATATACTATCCAAAACCACCAGTGTTTTATATGTAATGTTGGTAGTAAACTAGTGGTAAATCTGAGAAAATACATTTTCTTTGAGACTATTTTTCATCACAACACCCTGCATTTACCTTTCCTCTCTGAATGTATGTAAAAATATGTTTTAGAATACGTTTTTATTTAAGAAAAGTGTAAATACATGCACTGTGTTTATAACTATTTCATGTAATAGTTTTCTGTAAGGAAGCTTTTTGAGGCATTAAACTCTTCAGACATCTGGATCCTATCACCAACAAGGTGAACAATGTGGACTCTGTTTCACTAGAACAGAGTAATTCACATCAAACCACTCTGAACAACTTTGTTTATATTGTAACAATTTAATTATGCACAATTAATTTTTAAAAATGAAATTCCCCTTTAAGGTGTTTATTGGGACATCTCACACACATGCCTTGAGCCCAAGGCCTCTTATACACTTCAGCCAATAAAAAGTCATTCTGACTAGAATCTAGATTGAGCTCCTCCCTGCCTGTATAATCATATTAACATGTAAATAAAGGACAATAACTAATCCTACATCAGCCCTGTTAGCACCTGTTACACTGAAGAATAAGAAGATAATGAGAAAAACACACTAAGCACAAAAATGCGCGTTTAAAAAAAAAGAAAAAAAGAAAAAAATTTAATGACAGCCTTGGGAAGCTGACTCATTTTTGATACAGAGCAGCAAGAAGGCGGTTTTGTAAGCGAGCTCATGCTGAAACTAGACCTTAGAGGAGAAAGCAACATTAGAGCAGCACTAAAAAACTGAGACGAATACTGGCACAATCCATGAGAGCCGTTAGAGTCAGGGTTCAGGTTGTTGTTGCCAAAACGATGCTTCAGGATACTTCTTGAAGGCCGACTTGAAAGCAGCGCGCAGCAAAGAATTACAGAGCAATACTTAGATTCACTGACTCAGCAAATTCAGTACAAGGTCATGATGCAACCACATGACTGATTGCGTTTCGCCACTGTATAAAATTAACCACAGCGTGTTCTCGTTTCACCAGTGTAAACTGCCTCTGGTCTTTCAGCAGCTTGTTACTGACCCTATCTTGAGTGTAAATTACCCCTGCAAGCAGCAAGCTTGCTTTAA